TCATCATCATCATCATCATCATCATCATCATCATCATCATCATCATCATCATCATCATCATCATCATCATCATCATCATCATCATCATCATCATCATCATCATCATCATCATCATCATCATCATCATCATCATCATCATCATCATCATCATCTCTCTCTTCACTCATCATCCTCAGTCCTCCAATCCTGTCCCCCTTGATCCCACTCCTCATCCGCTTCGTCGTCATCATCGTCACCATCATCATCATGGTCGTCGTTGTCGTCGTCGTCACCACCACCATCACTATCAATATGTAGCATGCTCTTCTTCATCACCATCACCATCCGCCACTTCAACTTCTCATTATACATTCCTCCCCTCCTCATTATCATCATCCTCATCAGCCTCATCCTCTTCATCATCATCAGCATCATCATCGTCATCATCATCGTCCTCATCCTCATCCTCATCATCAGCATCAGCATCAGCATCATCCTCATCATCATTAGCATCATCATTATCATCATCATCAGCAGCATCTTCATCACCCTCATCCTCATCATCATCCTCATCATCAGCATCATCATCAGCAGCAGCATCATCATCATATCGTCATCGTAATCGTCATCGCCGTCGTCGTCATCCTCAGCCTCAGCCTCATGCTCATCCTCTCTCCTCTTTGGACGCCCGACATGGGCACTGAAAGAATGGGTACGATGCCCAACAGCAAATGTTGTCCCGAACCAACAGCGGCCGCTGTTGGGCAGGCGGCCTTCTGTCTCAAATGGACACAGGCCGCGGCGGCGTGGACAGCGGATCTTGTTCAGAATGAACAAGAACTGCTGTTGGGCATAGTACCCATTCTTTCCGTGCCCATCTCGGGCGTCCAGATCCTCAGCCTTGGGCCCCAGTCCCCCCTCCTCCCAGGGCCGGCACCAGAACCATCCGACGCCTCGCCTCCTCCGCCGCGTCCTCCGCCGCAGACGCGACGAGGTCGCGTCCGAAGGCGCCGCGCGCTTTCTCTGCGCTCGCGCCCCGCGCCGGCTGGCGCGTGGGAGGCGGCGCGAGCGGCGCGGTCCCGGCGCCCGCCGTCGGAGGACGCCCGACTATACACCAACACCAACCCTGGCCAAGCCCGTACTGGGCCCAGGATCGGTCCACGCGCCCCCCTGGCCTCACCAGGAATGACTACCCACCAAACCACCCCAACCCAACCCGAAGACCCCAATTTCGGGTTGAGGGGGGGTAAGGGTTCCACACGTGTTTTTTCGATGTTTCCCGACCCCCCCCCACTGGAAATCGAGGGTAAATCTGAGCCTTCGGGTTGGGTTGGGGTGGTTTGGTGGGTGGTGACGTACTGGGCCCAGGATCGGTCCACGCGCCCCCCTGGCCTCACCCGGAAGACACTCGCGCCGGCCCCGGGCCTCGGCTTGGCCTGTCCGGGATCGGGGTGGGTATATATATAGCTGGCGTCCGCTGGCGCGGGCTCACACCGGCGCGTCGCCCGTGGCGCCCCCCACCCCGCGCGAGACCTTGCGGGCTTCACGAGAAACGGGGAGGCTTCTGGGGAGGAAAAGGGGCTGTCACAACCAAGCGAGACTGACTCCACCTCCACCAAGGCCCAGGGTGCGAGCGCTGGCAACCGTGAGGTGACGGTCTGTTCTCGCCCGTGTCACATCTATCAAAGCCAGCACCCGTGCTGCAGAGCGCTGCCTTGCGAAAGAGACATGACCACGGCGAAATCTCTCTGCCGAATGACGGGGCTCAGGAGCAGCCGCAAGACGCCGCGAGGCCACACGAAAGAATCCGCAACCCCAGGCGCAACCCATGGGCGCAAAGAACGGCGAACCCCGCGGGTGCAGTGTATGGCCACACAAAACTCCACGCACTCGAATGCCCTGCTCCTTGCATCAGAGCCCGTGGGTGCAGGCACTGTCCTGGGGAAACGAATCTCGTGCATGCGACGGGGTCTGTGCCAGCTCTAGCTGACTGAAGGCGAGGAGGAAGGGGAAGGGGAGGGGATGAGGAGGACGAGAGGGAGGGGAGCCATCGTCCACCCATGCACGAGAGACCCCCCGCCGGGTCGAAAAAGCATCTGGGGAGGTCTCTGCGCGCGCGCTGCCCCGAGGTCTGGCATCGGAGGACGGCCCCAGGACTTGACCGACTCCTCGCGCGCCTGGCCAGAACAAAAAAACAACCCTTTTTCGAAGCGAACCTGACGCGAGGACTCGGAGACTCTACACGGAGACGCAAACGCAACGAACCATAGAAAACCTATAGAAAAACCAGACAGCTCGCCCCTTGGCCCGGGGGCGAGCAGATGTGCGGGCGCAGCACCACGCTGCATGCGTAGCCTTTGGCAAGGCCAGGGCATATCCTCACACCCCTCGCTTGAAGCTGCCAGCAACACATCCTCACACCCCTCGCTTAAACTGCAAACGAAGTATCCTCACACCCCTCGCTTGAAACTGCCAGCGAATCATCCTCACCGCCTCTGGCCTAAAACAGCCAGGTGAATCTCCTCACCCCCTTGCCTAAAACTGCCAGCAAAATATCATCAACCCCCTGGCCTAAAACTGCCAGCGAAATATTCTCAACCCCGTGACGTGCGAAATGTCCTCACACCCCTCCGTTAACACTGCTAGCGAAATATCCTGACCCCCTGGCCTAGAACTGCCAGCGAAATATCCTCACCACTCTGGCTTAACACTGCCAGCGAAATATCCTCACACCCCCCTCAGCGAAATATCCTCACCGCCTGGCCTAAAACTGCCAGCGAAATATCCTCACACCCTGGCCTAAAACTGCCAGCGAAATATCTTCACCCCCCTGACTTATGACTGCCAGCGAAATATCCTCACACCGCTCGAATAAAACTGCCAGCGAAATATCCTTCCCCCCTTGCCTAAAACTGCCAGCGGAAGACTTAAAAGTGCCAACGAAATATCCTCACTGCCCCCAGCCTAAAACTGCAAGCTAAATGTCCTTACCCCCTGGACTTAAAACAGCCATCTAAACATCCTCGACCCCCTGGACTAAAATCTGCCAGCGAAATACCCTCACCCCTGGAAATAAAACTGCCGTCTAACGGCTTTGGTGATTCAGTTGTCAGTTCAGTCAGCCCGTCTACTTTCCGAAAATCAAGTTACAGGCTGCGCCCGTAAATCACCGTCCTCCGACCCCCCCGCTTCAGGTGGTAGCGGGCCTTCCTGCGGGCGCGGGCCACCACCTTGGCAGCGGGGGCTGGACAGGAAGCACAACACGAATGGCGAAAGTTCATAATGCCGATCACACCTTCAACGGCTGCAAGGGCATCTGCACGAGTACAGACGACTCACTGAGAAGAACATTCAGGATCCGATGGCTACCACATGACGAATCGCGGGTCGACCGAAAAAAATACACCGTATTTAACGAGATGTGCCAACGTCCCCAGTCTGGGCGCCATTGAAATACAACCGGCAACTGGCATACCCTGGAAAAGTATCCAGTATACCATCGGGGCAGCACCTATTAATCGTGGCAGCCAAGATAGAAATCATTTGGAAATCATCGAGAAACCATCAAACCACGACAAACAGACGTCGGGGCACCAAGACTGCACACGATCGATCAAGAATGAGAGGGAGAGGGCACGCTTCGCATGCAAATTATACCACGCACATCAGGTAAACTGGATCACAACACATCACGCCACGTGGACGAAGCATGCACGCAAGCATGCATACGAAGGCACAGTTCGTTTGGTAAGACGGCAATGCGCGAAACTCGAATCGTTGCTTGTAGCATCACCGACGGTGAATGCGGCTGCGCCGGCCTCGATTCCGCGCTCCTGGGCGGCGCGTACTCCTCCCACGCTCCCAGGGGAACGTCCAACATCGAATCTGGAAGCAAAAGGCGTTGATAAGCATCTGGCACACAAGCTCGTCACGAAGACGTGCAAAATAGCAGACGCCGACTTCGCGGGGCCCGCCTCGCGGCTGACGCCTGCGGCCTCGGCCGCGTCCGCGGCCGCCGTCAACGCCTCCGCGTCCTCCCCAGCCATGGCGAGCCTTGGAGCGAGAAGCGGTCGAGGAGCTGCTGAAGGAGGAAGACAGGGGATGACGAGCAGGAGGGAGGCTTGAGATGCCCGCGGGCATGTCCGAGCAGCCTTGAGGAGACGGCCCATCCCGTTTTGATCGCCGCGTGGGCCTACGCATGCACACGAGGAGCAGGAGGGCAGATAACAGGCTCAGGATAAGCCTAGCAGCTGGCTTCACGATGGCGCAAGGGGCAAAGGAGAGAGGAGGAGGAGGAGGAGGAGGAGGAGGAGGAGGAGGAGGAGGAGGAGGAGGAGGAGGAAGCGTACTCTTGACTCTTGCTACGTTCTGATCAGGAGGCCAACAACTCTGGCTTTCGAGGCCTACGCGCGAACAGCTAGCAATGCTACTCACTGAAGGCATCCGCCTCCGCCGACGCGGCTATCTTTCAGAGCAGCCACGTCCCGCCTGCTTCTAGCGTGTTCACGCAACCCCCTCGTCCAATCACACGTCGATGTGGCACATGGTGCCTGCCGTCTGTGCGTGTCTCCAGCCACCGTCGAAGTACCCAGGGGTCTGGTGACTTGACGATGGGATCGGTCAAAAGTAGTGGCGTGCACGTATGGACGGTTCGCAGGTGCGCCCTCTTTGGCGCTGAATCCAACCAGCCCTGCGGGCTTGAATGGTTTAGTTTCTTCCCTTCTCCCCCCTCGGGGAGGAGCTCAATCACTGTGCCCTATTGATACACAACCCCTCCCCCAGGAGACCGGCGGCCAACCAGGAACCATGAGGGCACGCCCCCACCATCCCTGTCCAAAAAATTATACAAAACGTTCTCTGCCTCCACATTTGGAGCATGCGCGGCCAACCCGATGCGGCCATCCCCCCACCAACAACGTCAAAAAACAATGTGGGGCAAAGTCTGGAATCATGTTCATGGGGCCCGCGAGCACAATGTATTGTTTTTTGACAAGGACAGCGGGGGTGTCAACAGCTTGCCTGCTGTTGCGCGCAAGGCTACCATCCCTGACCAAAAAATGCACCTGGCGGCTAAATCTGGATCATGCGCGACCGCCCCGCGATCACTGTCAAGAGGTGGCGTGTGGCCTGCTGCGCGCAAACCCACCAACCACAACTACGGGCATTGGTCTTCGACATAAATGGTGGGGGTCGACATGTTTCCCGATGTGTGATGTCACGTGCGCAGGCGCACCTGACACACTCTGCACCTGTCCCGAACGTGACGCACCTGGCGCGGCTCGAGTATGCGGCACACCTGGCGCACGCGGAGGCACGTGGCGCATCTGGCGTACCAACCGTGTCTAGCACGTTCGGGCCCAGGAAGTGCCTGGCGCGCGTGGTGCACCTCGCCCCAGCGTCGCGCACATGGGTTTGGTCTTGGTTCCCAGGGTAGATTCCCATCGAAAGAAGACTGCCGAACATGCTGGGGCTCGGGTGTTACTTATGTGTTGGGAGGGCGGGTCGGAATGAACTACAGGGCTTGCGGGCGGGTGGGTACCTTGCCCCTCCCCATACCCCCCCTGTGGACCTGGACGGGGCGCCCCGCGACCGATTGGACTATCCAAGGTGACTCCAAGCGGGCCTGTGAGAGCCCACGATGACCTCCAAGACGGCTCAAGATAACTCAAGAAGGTTCAAGATAGCCTCCAATATGGTCCAAGAGGCTCCAAGTCCGCCCCAAGACGGATCCAAATGGCCTGCAAGCACCCTCAAGAGAGCACCCAAGAGGACAACATCGCTCCAAAAGTTAGGAAAAGCAAATGTTGTTCTGTGTTATAGCATATACGTTTACGATGGTCTCCCGAGTCTTCAAGATGGCGTCAGGATGGCCCATGAGGACCCCAAGAGGGCCCCAAGAGAAGCCCACGAGGGCTCCAAGACAGCCCCAAGTTCGCCCAAGAACACTCCAAAAGCGAGCCAAGAGGTCGCCAAGAGGCGACGTCGGAAGCTCTACAGGGGCGCCGCTAATTAGGGCCCACCCCCCTTTGATCGATATCCTCAAAGATGGTCCCGGGAGAGAGCCTTCAGGGCCCTCAAGAGGGCAGGGCCCCAAGAGGCCTCCAAGAAGCTCTCCAACAACCCCCAAAGGAGGCCCCAACAGGCTGCCCAGAGCCACCCAAGAGTCCTAAAGAACCTCGAAGTACCGCCAAGACACCTCCCAGACGCCGACGGCGCCGCGAGACGAGCACATGATCTCACAAGCATCGAAGAGGCCTCAGAAGCCCCTCGTGCTCGCCATCTCTTTTCTGGGGGACGCCGTCGAGACGAGCAACGCTGCTCAGCCGCAGGGCCTCCAGGGGTGACCCCACTGGGCCCCTCCTTCTGCGCCTCCCCCGCGGCGCCCCACCTGCGCCGACGACCCTCTCGCGAGGCGTTCCTGCAGGATTATCGCGGCCCTCGCCAAGCCGACGCCGAGCCGCACTCGGTCGCGGTCGCCACCTGCTGCGTCCGGAAGAGCCCCTGCGCAGCCACTATCTCCTGGGTGGACTCTAGGGTCGCCCCAGCGCGGAGCCCGGTCGGGAGCCAGGCTCGGTGCCGGCCGGCCGGCGGCGCCAATCTCGGAGCCGCCGGCGCGGAGCCGGGCTGTGAGCAGGGCTCGTGGCCAGCCAGCTGTGGGCCGGGCTCGGCTCTAGCCGGCGCGGAGCCCACTTGAGAGCTGGGCCCGGGGCCGGCCTGCTGCTGGGCGCAGGGCTGGGAGCCGCCCAGCGCGGAACGGAGCCGGGCTCGGAGCCGCGGGCGGGGGACCGGGCTCGCGGCCAGCTGGCCGGGGGCCGGGCTCGGAGACCGCCGTCGCGGAGCCGGGCCGGGAGCCAGCTGGCGCAGAGCGGACCTGGGCTGGGAGCCAAGCTCGGAACCAGGCAGGGAGCCAGGCTCGTGGCCAGCCGGCCGGGGGCCAGGCTCGGAGACGGCCGTCGCGGAGCCAGGTTCGTGGCGAGCTGGCTGGGCGCCAGGCTCGTGGCCAGCTGGCTGAGCGCTGGGCTCGGAGCCGGCCAGCGCGGGGCCAGGCTGGAAGCCGGCCACCGGGGGCCCGGCGAATGTCGTCATACCACATACGCAGCAGGTCGGCCTCGTCCGACACAGGCGTCACCTCCGAAGGGGAGCGTGCAGCGGTTGATTTTGCACCGGTACGGGCTCGAAAATCCGCTGCGAGGCCGGCGGACTCAGAGGCCATCTTCCCGCACTCACTCCCCGTCCGGGGACCAGTCTGGCGCAGTCGGCCCCCTCGCTGGAAAAGGTTCCCTCCCCGGAGAACACGGAGGCACGGGACTCGGGCTAAGCTTGTCCGACGGGCACGCGTCGTTCGCGGGCTCCGTCTCCGGGATCATGATCGTCACATCGTCGACGTACGAACTGATCCGGGGCCGAGTGTCGTTGAGGGTCGTCTTGGTCACTAAGATCTCCTGCTCGAGGAACGCCCGCCAGCGAGCCGCCGACGAAGAGAGCAGACACACCTTTCTAGGGTTCCCGGCTTGCCCGCCGAGGCTGGACTGAGCACTGGGGCTGGTCACAGGCGGCGTGAACGGACCGTTCGCCAGCCGCTCGGTTTGCATCATCAGAATTCGGTTCGGCTGTAGGGAGGGGGTTTGTCCGTTGCCATGTCTCTGTCGGGACGGATGCCTTCGCCCGCGTCTGCAGCAACAGACAGGGCATGGCTTGCTTCTCGGGGACGCGGAGCTTCAGCTCGTTGATCGGGTCCATGCATGGCGTCCGGCTGACGCGAACCTGCGCACAGAGCTCGGGCACATTCGGGCCAGCGGTATCCAGTTCCATCTCGCTGCCATCGCACTCGTCGATCGTCGCGTCGTCCGGGGGGCGCCGTCAGGCTGACCGCAGCCAGCGTCCGACGCTCAGCCTGCGCGATGCTCTCTTGGAGGGATCCACCGAAGCTGCATGTTGGCTCCTGCGACATCCGCCGCCCGGGAGGGGAAAAGGAGGGAAGAAATCAGCGCAGGGGCGGGGTTCGTCAAGGCCCGTAAAGCGTCCCTGAAAAGCGCTCTGCTGGGAGGTGGGGCGACCGCCATGTGTGCACGTACGTTAGATGCACATGTATACGTATATATTTATGTATACATATACATATACATATGCATATACATATACATATACATATACATATACATATACATATACATATACATATACATATACATATACATATACATATACATATACATATACATATACATATACATATACATATACATATACATATACATATACATATACATATACATATACATATACATATACATATACATATACATATACATATACATATACATATACATATACATATACATATACATATACATATACATATACATATACATACATATACACATATGCGCACACGCGTAGATGTACATGCATGTGTGTTTTTGTTAACGCATACAAACATACATACATGCATTCATGGATGCATACATCCATACAAGTGTACATACATACACTCATAATACAAATATACACACATGTAGTTATGCGAGTGTACGATGGTATGCATATCTGTTTGTATATATGTATGGTTGTACGTGTGTGTGTGCATCTGCACACGCAGACTTATGAGCATATGTCAACGAGTACGCAGCTGCATATCTAAAGTATGTGTTGATGTACACGCATGTGATATGTGTATGCGTGTGCATGTGTACACTTATGCGTCCATCTATCACTATACGTATGTGCACGCATATGTAGTCACGTATGTAAATGTATGGGTTGTCGTATATGTGTGCATATGTAAATGAAGATGTATACAAATTGAATGTGTATGTGTATGTGCACATGTATATGCATGATGATGTGGATAGTTGGCTGTGTAGATGTATATTACATGTGTACATATATATAGATGTACGTGCAGACGTAACAGTACACGCACATGTATCATATACATGTACGTATACGTTTGTTGGATGTATAGGCGTACATCTGCATCTATATAAACACACAAACATGATTACAAGGCTGCATTGGCGCTTCGCGCCATGCGCCTTGTTCCAGACGCTTCCCAGCAAAGCAAAAAGTCATCGCTTGCTTCGACACAGGACCTCGAGGCCTGGACGGGCGATCGGCTAATGTGTCTGAAATCCCTCGTGCCTGCTGACACCGCGTTCGCCCGATGCGCTTGCACGCTTGTGCGCAGGAGTGGAGAAAGAATGATGATTTTGTCAGGCGCGAGGGTGCTGGCAAACGACGAAGTATCAGGGAAAGGTGATAGAGGTACGGAAAACACAAGCGGGCTGGCGTGAGCGCAACGAGCGCACGGTGAACGCCGTCTGGGCGTTGTTGGTGCTCTTTTGAGCCGTCCTGGGGTCCTCTTGGACCTTCCTGGGCCTTCTTGGGCCGTCTTGGGGAGCTGGGGCCCTCCAGAGGTCTTCTGAAGCCATCTAGGGCCCTTTTGGGGGTCTCCAGTTGCCTTCTTGGGGGTCTCCCATGGCTTTCGTGTGTCTCTCTTGGGAGCCTTCTGGGGGCATCTTGGGCTTCTTGTGGGCAGTCTCGGGGCTCTCTGGGATAGTCTTGGGGCCCCCGTGGGCCGTCTTCAAACCCTCTGGGGGGCCTCTTGGGCCGTCTTGGGGCGATATCGGGAGCCCATCGTGCCGTTTTGGACGCTGCGAAGACCCAAAAAGCGGATATGCTAAAAATATGCATTTTCCTCCTAAAACAAATGGGACAATGTGTGCTTCTTCGGGGCTCTCTTAACGGCCTCTTGAGGCGTCTTGGGGGCCTCGTGGGCCGTCTTCGGGCCATCGAGATGCCTCTTGGAGTGCTCTTGTGCTGTCTTGGGTCTCTCTTGCGCCTCCCCGATGACCCCTCTGATCGCTTTGAGTCTGCTCGCAAGCCCGGCAAGGCGTCCTGGGAGGCCCAGAAGGGCCAGCGGACCTTTTCTAAGGGCGTCCTGGGTGCCACGGAGACGTCCAAAAGGGCGTCTGGGGCGTCCCGGGGGGGGTCCGGTTTAAGGCGTGGGGGGTCCCGGTGGCAAAAATGTAGGAATAGGAATAAATACATATGTAAACAATAATTATAATAAATAATGAGAATAAAAATGATAATAGTAATAATCTTATAAAGTAAAATAGAATTTTAAAAAAAAAAGATAATACTTACATAAATACATAAGAATAATAAGAATAATAAGAGGAAGACGAAGAAGAAGAAGAAGAAGAATGAGAGAGAGAGAGGAGAGAGAGAGAGAGAGCGATAAGGAGAGCGAGAGAATGCGTGTGCTTCGGCTCTGTCGCCTTCAGCTCGCTCTCCGCCGTCGCTCCTTGACGCTGTCCTTCGTCGGTCCACGCTTGGCTTCTCGTTCTCCCCGCCCTCCAATCCCACCTGGCTCATGTCACCTCCCACCTACACCGTAGCCTCGTCCGCTCAGCGCCCCTCCCCGCCACCAAGGCCCGGAGTCTCTGAGAACTCGGCCGGGCGTAGACGCGCGCGCGCTTCGCCGCTCGGGCTCGAATTTCTACGCCCCGTCGCCGGGCGCGGGGCCGCGGCACCCTCAAAAAAATGTTTCCGTGTACACAATCCCTCTTGCCGATCGCCGTTTCAAGATTCGCAGGCCGAACCAGCCTGAGAGTTCTCGTTGCCTCGGCGCATGCCTGCCGCTTGTGCACGGCCAGCCTCTCGTCCAGCGCCTGATTACAATTACGTGGTATAGATGCGCTAACACTGAGGGTCCAAGAAAAGCAGCACAAAGCATGCGTGGGTGGATGAGGGCCTAGCAAGGGAGAACATGCCTTGGCTTTTCCAGCTCGAAGCGATCTAAGATCATCAAAAGGGGGTCATACACCAGTGATTGCGCGGCGAATGTCCGTAAAGATTAGATCGGGCCTGGCGTCCGCATTCCACAAACTATCCACGCGAAAGGCCAAGCCCTGTAAGCTTCGCGTAGTCACTTATAGGGGGCACTCTCTTCGTGAGGGGTGTGCAGAAAGGGGCAAGGAGGCGCATGCGAAGTGGCCTAATGAAGCTGCAAGGGGCCCTCCGTATGGGGCACGATCCGCGTGAGGGGCTTGCCGAAATGGGCGAGGGCTGGAGAGGGAGTCAGGATGGAGAAAGACAGGAGGCGGGAGAAGACGAAGCAGGCCGGCGCTCGGAGCTGCGCAGCGAAAACGATTCCATAACAACATACAGGGGATGAAAATTGAACTAGGGAAGCAGATCAACGTGGATCCCGTGATTGGCCGTGGATGGAGCCAAGAACGTGGACTTCGACGAAAACGACCAAGCGATTTTTGAAGCTTCAAGGCACACGTTCAAAGAAGTGGACAAAACATGAATAGCGAAAAAGGCAACATCGGAAGAGAAACACCAAAGACAAGAAGAACCGCGCCACGCGGGTTCGCAATAGGCTAGCATGGGTTCCAAGCACAAGCAGACAATCCCGAAATGACTATTACATTACATACCGCATGCTATGAAAACGAAAACGGAAGGGCAACCGACCGTTCAATCTGGGCACTCTAAGAGACGGTGGTGGTTGCATCAAGAGACACACGGATGAAAACAGGGCCAAGGCTGAACATCGTTTGCGCCAGCAACGGTTGCTACGAACAACATGTTTCGACATGGCTGCCCCCACAATAGCATTCCATTCACGGCGCCTTCCCGAGTATCTGGGCATCCGCCCCCACCTCGACGGCGCCCTGGCCATGCATGGAGAATTCGAGAAGGTGGTTGTCGCCCAAGCGGAGACAATCAAAAGAAGATCGACAGCGACAAGAATCCCCAAGGAATGTGAAGAATAGTCAGGAGCAGTCAAGCGGGTGCGAAATTCAAACGGCCAAAATGAACGCACGAACACATGGATGGAACTCTTGTTAAAATCGAGATTCGGTTCCCCAAACAGTTACTGCACTTAGGGGTTCTCTTCTAAGGAACTGCGCTGGTGAAGCAGGCTGGCGGCTATGTTGCCGCCGTCGCCGCCCCGTCCGTCGCCGCCCGTCGGGGCGTCTGGGCAGGTGTGGCGGTCTGGCGGATATGTTGCCGCCATCACCGCCCCCACATAAATTGCACCACACAGAGTGCACCACGCAGATTCTCTTTTGTGATCATGAAATAGGCTCTACCACCCTCCTCCCCCCCCCAGACTTGTCGATTCCCCAGGAATCGATGCAAAAACACATATGATTCTGACCCAATGTCCATCGCACCTGTGAATTCATACTATCCCAACAAGGCCGGTATCGGCCCCTCCTCGGTTCCCTTACAAAATATACTATGCGCGCACACTCGGTCATCAAAAACCATAAGTTTTCACAAATCCCTTGAGCCTTGCAAAAAATGGGACGAAGTGCACACGCGCGCGTCGTCGCGCGCGCATTCCGAAATCCTTCGAAAATTTTCGTTTCGGAAGGAGTTCAAAATCGAGTGTCCAAAAACATGTTTAAACAAAAAACAAATAATAATAATATGAATAATAATAATACTAATAATAATAATAATGGTAATAATACTAATAAGAAGAAGAAGAAGAAATAATACTGATAATAACAACAAGAATGACCAGACTAAGAACAATAACAACAAGAAGAACGACAGTGATAATGATAAGAATAATGGCAACACGGATTTTCAACTAAAACGTGCGCGCGCCCTTGCGAATTCTTCAGAAAAAATAATAATAATAATAATAATAATAATAATATAAAAAAAACAAACAAAAAAAAAAAAAAAAAAAAAAAAAAAAAAAAAAAAAAAAAAAAAAAAAAAAAAAAAAAAAAAAAAAAAAAAAAAAAAAAAAAATGCTTACAAGTGGCACGCGTGCCACGGCTCTTGCACAAAACGGAGGGGGAAGGAGAAAGAGGAGGAGGAGGAATAGGAGGAGTAGGAGTAGGAGGAGGAAGAGGAGGAGGAGGAGGAGGAGGAAGAAGAAGAAGAGGAGAAGAAGGAGGAGGAAAGGGGGGGAGAGAGGGGACGAGAAATCGGAGAAGTCTCGGGGGGGCGGGACGGCGGGGGCGGTGCGACGCAGAAATAAAATGGTCGGAGCGGAGGGGGGGGGGGGGCGGGGTGCACTGGGCGGGCGGGGAGGGGAGAACGATCGCGGGGCCGGGACGGTGGGGGCCGTGCGACGCGGAATACAACATCCGTGGCGGAGGGGGCAGTGGGCGGGGGTTTCTACTGGAGCGCTGGGGACGCGGGGGGGGAGGGTGGGGGAGGTGGTGTGCGCTGCGACGCGGAATAAAATGGTCGGGGCTGAGCGGGCCCTGGGCGGAGCTTGGGGCAGAAGACCACGGGGCGGGGGTCCAACTGGGGCGCTGGGAACGGGGGGGGAGGGTGGGGTGGCCTGCGTCGCGACGCAGAATGAAACTGTCGAGGCGGAGGGGGCACGGGGCGGAGCCCCCACTGGGGCGCTGTGGACGCGGGGAAGGAGGTGGGGTAAGTGGTGTGCGTAGCGACGCGGAATAAAACGTTCGTGGCGGAGAAGGCAGCGGGCGGGGGCCCCGCTGGGGCGTTGGGGACGCGGGGGGGCTCGGGGCAGAGAGCCACGGCGGGGGTCCCACTCTGGCGCTGGGGACGCGGGGGGGGTGCGACGCGGAATGAAGCGTTCGTGGCGGAGAAGGCAGTGGGCGGGGCTTCCGCTGGGGCGCTGGGGACGCGGGGGGCTCGGGGCAGAGAGCCACGGCGCGGGGGTCCCACTCTGGCGCTGGGGACGCGGAGGGGGGGGGCGGGCGCGGAATAAAATGGTCGGGGCTCTAGACACCCTATACAAGAGAATAATATGCTACCAGGCGGGCTTCGCGCGCGAATGTCAAAATCGTTCGAACGCCCTGGCGCGCGTGCTGGGGTGGCACGATCCGTGTCCAATAACAACATGCGAGCCATTCTTGCGCGCCTGCCGCGCGCGCATTTCGAATTCCTTCCAAAATCTTCATCACCGACGCGGGGACGCCGTCATCGTCGCCGGCGTGATCATCATCGGCGCCGTCACTGGCTGCCCCGTCGTCGCTGTCAGCATTGTCACTAGCATCGCTACTACCACCATCGTGTCCACCGTTGTCGACGTTGCCATGATACCGCGCCCGCCCAAGTCGCCGACTCGCACTGAAATACCCGCTGGGATGTGCCGAGCGGTCAGCGCCACCACGTTCGCGTCGGTCGCGCCAAGCTAGTTGGCCGCTGCGCGCGCGAGCATGCGCGGGCTAGCGCGGCCGCAGAGATGCACCAGTCAACACCCAGCACTCATCACAATCGCTCCCGCATGGGTTCTGCAAACAAAGATGCAGGGGGTGGGTTGAATGATTGCGCGAGCAATGGAGTTGACAACTTCAAGTTCGGCAAGTGAAACGCAGCCCACACATTGTACCACGAATACTGCAACCAAAGGTTGCACCAGACACATTACACGTAATGAACTGCACAACAAAGAATGTACCATACTGATTACGCCGGATAGATCGCACCACATACATTGCACCACATATATTGTACATCACAATGCGCGCCGCAAATAATGCACCAGATAAACTGCACAGCACAGATTACACAACATAGATTGCACAACATAGATTGCACGACACAGGCTGCACCACATGGATTGCTCACCCTATAGTGATACACATATTCCACATATACCGAAAACGTTGCATTGCTAGGAACACAAACTATGGGGCCCACGCTGGCCTGCACAGTTTGATACCAAGAACGACTGCCAATGTGGATCCCAAATCTAATAAATAATATGGAACAAGTGGCGCGCGCGCCACGGCTCTTGCGCGAAAAGGAAGGGAGAGGAGGAGGAGGTGGAGAAGGAGTGGGGCGGAGGGGGAAGGAGGAAGAGGGGGAGGAGGAATAGGAGGAGTAGGAGTAGGAGGAGGAAGAGGAGGAGGAAGAAGAAGAGGAGAAGGAGGAGGAAAAGGGGGGAGAGAGGGGACGAGAAATCGGAGAAGTCTCGGGGGGCGGGACGGCGGGGGCGGTGCGACGCAGAAATAAAATGGTCGGGGCGGAGGGGGGGGCGGGGCGCACGGGGCGGGCGGGGAGGGGGCAACTATCGTGGGGGCGGGGCGGCGGGGGCCGTGCGACGCCGAAATAAAATGGTCGGGCGGAGGGGGTCGCGCCGGTGGCGGCGGTGGTGGTTGGCGTGGGTGGGTGGGTGGAGGCGCGAGAGGAGCGGCGCGGAGGGGCGGTGCGACGCCGAAACAAAGCGGTCGGGGCGGAGGGGGCCGGGACGCACAGGGCACTGGGCGGCTGGGGAGGGGGGAACGGTTGGAGTGGCTGGACGGGGGGGGCGGTGCGACGACGAAATTCAACTGCCGGGGCGGAGGGGGGCAGGGTGAGGAGGGCACTGGACGTGGGGCGGTGTTGCGCTGGTGGTGGTGGTGGTGGCGGTGGGGTGGTGGCGGTGGTGGTGGTGGTGGCGTTGGCGGTGGTGGTGGTGGTGGTGGCATTGCTGGCAGGGGGGGTGAAGGGGGGCGGCGGGGAGGGGGGGGGGGGAAGGGGCGGGGGGGGGGGGGCACCGCCCGCGTGCGTCCGCCACCACCCAGCACAGCCCTTGCTCCCTGCGTTTCACCCACCCAGCACAGCGCTTCGTGGCCCCATAAGGAGCTCCACCGAAGATCCCAGTGGCACCGCCCGCAAGCGCCCGCCACCACCCAGTACAGCCATTGCTCCATTCGTTTCACCCACCCAGTACACCGCTTCGTGACCCCATAGGGGGGCCCCACCGAAGGTCCCAGCGGCACTGCCCGCATGCGTCCGCCACCACCCAACACGGCCCATGCTCCCTGCGTTTCACCCACCCAGTACAAGGTTGAGTCGCCCCATAAGGGGCCCAACCGAAGGCCCCAGTGGCGCCGCCCGCATGCGTCCGCCACCACCCAGCACAGCCCTTGCCCCCTGCGCTTCACCCACACAGCGCTTCGTGACCCCATAGGGGGCCCCACCGAAGGCCCCAGTGGCACCGCCCGCATGCGCCGCCACCGCCCAGTACAGCCATTTCCCCCTTCGCGTCACCCACCCAGTACAGCGCTTCGTGGCCCCATAGGGGGGCCCACCGAAAGCCCCAGTGGCACCGCCCGCATGCGTCCGCCACCACCCAGCACAGCCCTTGCCCCCTTCGCTTTACCCACCCAGCACAGCGCTTCGCGGCCCCATGGGGAGCTCCACCGAAGCCCCCAATGGGGTCGCCCGCACGCGCCCTTCACGCCGACTTTGGTATTTTCCCCCGCCCAGCGCAGCGCTTCGTGGCCTCATAGGGAGCTTCACCGACTGCCCCACTGCTACCGCCCGCATGCGCCCCCCCCTGCCCAGCGCAGCGCTTCGTGGCCCCATATGGAGCTTCACCGAAGAAGATATTCACAATTGCGGCACCCACAACTTCACGCGGGTGGATCCTTCGCCAAGATGAGTTACTCAGGGCTGGCGCTCGTTGCTCGCCGCCGAAAGCCGCCGTTCTAGCAAAACCAGCGCTATCGCTCGAGACGCCCCCCCGGCCCACCTCGGACTGGCGCGCTACTCTTTCTCTCATCGGCGCCGCCCCCAGCAACGACAACGCTCTCGCCCGAGACTCCCTCCCGTTTTACGCTGGATCGTCCCTTTTGAAATGGCGCCGCCCCCAGCAAGAACAACGCTCCCGCTCGAGGGTCGGGGCGGGGCTGTTCCTCGCCGCCGACAGCCCCCGCCCCGGCAAAACCACGGCTCCCGCCCG